TGGCCCGAAAAACCATTGTCCCGAACGGTATCTGTCCCGAAAACTCATTGGCCCGAAAAAATGAAAGCTCAGCGTTGCTTCTATGCAGAGATGTGCATCTAGCACATTCTTTTCGCTCTTATATTATGTCATATTATTACGTACAATCACAGGGGGATCACAAAGAGCCACGGCTCAAGACAACCAACGTCTTGAATCGATGGAATTGATACAGTTGAGTGGTTACAGCCCACTTGAGTGTCATTGGGAGTACAACGTGTGCGAACAACGTCTGAGGTATTCTATGAGAGTGATTTCATGGTTTTCATATTGTCGTACGATGCGCTCCAGTCTTTGATTTAGGAGTATGTATTTTTTCCGCAGCGGCTTCGGAGGGTGCCCGACGTCCAATAGAAGTCTGTCCGACTTGTGCTTGCTCTGGTCCTGTTTGAGATGGCCTATCAAGACAAAGATGTTCACGTGGCTTTCCTTGACCATTCGATTCAAGGCACTATGCCATGCTTCGATATTATTTGTCGTGCGCGGTCCAAAGTTTCTAAGGGGAGGAAATTGAAGGATAAGGCAACTCAATCATTCGTACAGTACCATCCGGACCACGACAAATCATTTGAGAGCTCTCACCCATAATGGTTCCACAACCGACGGGGAAAAACCGTCTCATTCTCCAGCCATGTGTGTATGACATACTCTTTGAGCTCGTCCAATTTGGCATACGCAGCGTGATCAATAGTGGGAGATTCACTCTGAAGCTCCAACCACGCATCATCGATGAGATGCTCCGGTACTAAACTTAGAGCCATCACGCCTTTGACGAAACTGCGGATCAGAGTCGATTGAGTAATGCTGCCGAGCTCAAACTTATATATATGCATGGTTGGATTGTTTCCATCACTGGATAATTGATCTACCTCCTGATGCTCGGATCGTTATCGTAGAAGGTTCGGAGACCGACCTGCTGGGTTTTCCTCCATATCGCTTGAGAAAAATGGAAATTGCATCCCTTTACTTCCGTTCCTGGGAGCGACTCTTCGATTGCCTTCAGACTTGAAACTTCAAAGTCTAGTTGCATCTTTGGAGGTTGAAAAACCATATGCCGTGTCACAGCGAAGGTCTTCAGGAGCGTAAACATTCGGATGTAAGTTTCCTTCTGTTTATCAGGGAGGAGAAAATACACGAGCGGCATCATTTGCCCCCGATATTGAGCGTGGAGCGTATAAAGCTGAGCGAACAGATGAGGCACGACCTTGAAGGTCCCGTCCATGTAAATCGCGTCAGCACGACAGAGGATCGTCATAGCTTCTTCGGTCGAGAAACCGAGGATTCTGTCCGTGGTTCCATCGTCAAAGACTAAGAAATCCTCCCCGTCCAAGGTTCTTGTCCACGTATCGCGAAGCACGATATCAGACCGACTTAACGGCAGCACCGGTCGAACCTTAGCTCGCTGTCGATGCAAGGAGCTTCGAACCTCTTCAAAATTCGGCAAAGCAGCGCCGATCTCTTCGGCGGCGTGATCTTGTCGAAGATTTGCAATACTCCGAACGAGGACTTCCTGATACACTTGTTTACATGATTTGTCCGGTCGAAGCAGAAGCGTTCGTTTCATCTCTGTCTTTGCAGCGCGTCTGATGCGATCACGACGTTCCTCTTCGTGATTATGAGTCCCGGACGTCCTGATAATTTCGGCATCGGCTCCCTTGGAATAGCGAAACGGAGACTCAGGCGCGTTTTCAACTTCGTATACCCGGAATATCACGATCGATGATCAGTTAGATTATCTATCAGGGATAAGTGAGAATCTATACCTTGACGTACTATGATTCGAGCAGAACAACCGTCCGACTTTTTCGAATGCACCGACAATAATGTTTCTGTTCCTTCTTTTTGTCGACTTCGAAGAGGAAATCGTTGACACGGTAGAGACTATTCGCCCAAGCGGACTCGATTTCTTCCGGGATCATCTTCCCGTCGACGCGAGAGACACAAACGATCGCGCAAGAGTGACTTGCGGAACATCCACATGTCACATTCAGTCAGCTGCTGAAGCCCGCGCAGAGAGGATTAAGGATAGAGATAGAGAGGCGTAGAAGTCTCCACTGCGGCTCACTCGCCACATCTCCGCATAGAAGCTTCGCTAAGCTCTAAATTTTTCGGGGCAATGCGCTTTCGGGACAGATCCCGTTCGGGACACTGGGTTTTCGGGCCATTGAGATTTCGGGCCATTGACTTTTCGGGCCAGTGGGTGCACACCATATCGGGTGCTCTAAAATGAGACACCCCGAAAGCCCCAATACGGGATAGGTGCCCCGAAAACCGATTTCCTTCCTCCGCAATGGTCCGATCCAGGTTTCGAATGACCTGCTACGGTGGGGTCTACCAATGCTAAGTATTGTTGAAGGTTCTCCCAGCGGCGATCCTCTCAACCCATCAGTCCATCAGGTATGCTTATGAGGTTATGAGAAACTTCTTCCGCTTTACGGTTAGGCTTAGGGACACCGTGTGGTTGGCTGTGGTACGGGCCTAAAGAGAAGGCGGGTCTTATAATTGCAAATGTGGTAGGATGCACACTTCTTCGAATCTCCTCCGAGAGTCTGTCATCGTCATCACGTCATCAGATTCGGCGAGCACTTGAAGATTGATCTCCCGGAAGACGTTCACAATGGCAGGAAAGGCTGTGAAAAGAAAAACCTGGAATCCGGACGCTATGCTGAGAGCAGTATCAGAAGTTAGGAGCGGTGCGATGGGCTACTTAAAAGCCTCGAAAATCTCCTGTGTACCTAAACGCACTCTTGAGAGATACGTGAAGAGTTCTGTAGATTGTGAGCAACTCGTGGCGACCCCACTCGGTCGGAAACCAACCATGCCGGGATCATTCGAGGAACAACAGGTGCAGTATCTTTTGGATCTGGATAGACGAAATTTCGGCATGCGAGGCGTTGATGTGAGAAGGATAGCCTTCCAGCTTTGAGCAAGGGAACAAATACCGCATCCCTTCAAAGAAAGCAGGCAGCTCGCAGGGAAGAAGTGGCTTCGCCAGTTCTTGCAGCCACACCCCTCACTCAGTATGCGTCTGCACCAAGCCGTCTCGAAGGCCTGGGTATAGGGTTTCACGCGGGAAAAAATGTCAGCCTTCTTTGACGTTTACGAGCGGACAATTTCTGAGAAACGAATTCAACCACATCGAATTTTCAATGTGGATGAGACCGGAATCACGGTTGTTCAGCACAAAAACACACTGGTAGTCTCGAAATCCTAGCGCTGAACACCCGGTACTCTTGGTCCTCGATGGACATTATTCGCATACTCGGAATATAGAGCTCATCGATCTAGCGGAGCAAAATCATATCAGCATCTTGTGCTTACCGCCGTACTGTACACATCGCATGCAGCCATTGGACGATGCGTTCATGAGCCCTTTCAAGACCTACTACGCTCAGGAGATCGAAACTTGGCTCCGCAACAATCCATCCCGAGCTCTCAAAGTTAGCTGTATAGGGAAAGTGTTCGGGATTGCTTACAAGAGAGCCGCAACTATGCAAGTATCAGCGAGCGGTTTCAGAGCTACCGGACTCCTGCCAATCAAGAGAAATGTTTTTAGCAGCGACGATTTCGCCGCGGTTGAGACCATCGCGGGCGATAACCTCCGCTCCGGTTCGAGGGACCTTGAAAGGACCTCGTTTCGAGACATTTTCCGCCTTCCGATGCTCCCATCGACAACGTTGCCATCTCGTCAGGAAGCGGCCATACTCATTACGTCTGCGACTCACAGAACGCGCTTAGAAGACACTCGAGCTCGGAAAAAATCGGCGAGTGCAGCAAGGAACTCTCCACTACACAGAAGATGTGGCGGAAAAAAACTGTGAAAATGATCGGGCTCATGGTTCCGCTGACACTTTGAGAGAGAGCTCCCCGGTCGAGGAGCCTGAGGAAGAAGATGCTGATCAGTCGTCGAGTCCGGATCGTCGAGTTCTCAGAGGCGACTTTGCCGAAATAACCGTCGTGAATGACTAAGGCCGAAAAAAGGAGAGGATTTCGGTGATTGGTATCGTCATAGAGGATCCCAGAGGCGAAAGTCCCGAGATAACGCTGGAGTTACTGAAAGAGTCGGGAAGAATCACCGTAGTGTGGATGTATCCTCCTGTCAGGCAACAAATTGTTGTCTCGGCAGGAGAAATCATTCGAAAATTGAGGATCAAAACCCACAGGAGAGGGCGATACGTTTTCGAAACAGTACCGAACATTTGATTCGTCTGAATATGCAGAGGCTAATGAAGATCATTATCGGGCCCTCTTATACTCATGATTAGGAGCTTCAGAGAGACCTTTATCATAGTGATCGTCCTTTATTCCGACATGGGAGCTCAGGCACCCAAACTTCCAGCGCGCTCAGCGTTCATATTGGCCCAGTGTTTTGGCATAGAACGGCAATCACTGTAGTCACTAGAGGACTAGAGGACACTTTCACGCATCTCCATAACAGCCATGGTAGGAGCTCCCAGATAACTGAAGAAACTTGAAAAGTCTGTTTGTAGTGTTAGAGTCTAACGGGTCTAGCGACGGTGGCGCCGCCAGTGTCATGTTCAATAAACGAGGAGCCGGCAGGAACATTCCGGCCTGACGCTCCGGACGTGGAACTCATCGATCTCTATCGTGGTACCTAATTAGCGACACTACATTGGCGCAGTCGACAGTTGAGTTACGAAAGTGGAACCGTTTACGTTAGTGTACTGTACTGTAAACCGTGACCAATAGCCGTGCCGATCGAGACAGGAACATCTTCAGAAAAATATTCGCAATGGAAGAAATAATTTCAACCTCGGAGAGCAAGTTCTTCTTGAACACCGGTGATGTGCCTAATGTTCCCTGGCATCGATGGATTGAAGCGTTCGAATGCCGCCTGTTGGCGAAAGCTATAACGGAGAATGACGCCAAATTCGCTCAACTACAATATTACTGCGGATCGGAAGCCCGCCGGCGGATAGAAAATGTGATTGTACAGCTTCCGTCAGAAACGCCGTCCTACGAAATCCTCAAAAAAAAACTCGAATTACAATTCCTGGATATCAAAGGGAACATATCGGCGTACATAGAGTTTACCGAGCGCCGCCAGCGACCCGGAGAATCTACGGAGGCTTTCATAACGGACCTTCGCGAACTAGCCGCGTGGGTGGACTTCGATAAATTAAAAAATGTGGACATCGTTGCTTGTGCCCTTGCACGTGGTACGAATGTGCCGCAAGTCGCTGAAGAATTGCATCGCCACCAGAAACGGCTGACGTCACAACAATTGATCGAGAGAGCCATCGATATAACTTCGAATCTGAAATCACGGAGCGAAATTTGTGCCAGGATTCAGCAACGGGTGTCGGATAACCCCTTCAACGCTACCCAAGAGGCGCCTGACTGGCCGCAGCCGATGGAAGTAGATTTGGTTTCCGCCGGTCACCGACCGCGTTTCGCTGGAACACGTGCAGGTGCGCGCCCGGCGCCGTCCTCGAATTACACCAGAGCAGGAGTCAACTCTCAAAGGGACGAAGCTCGGCAACGCTTTTGCTCGAGGTGTGGATCAAATCAGCATGGATCAAACTACCCGTTCTGCCGGGCAATCAACAAGCATTGCGAAAAATGTCGCGGTCTCGGTCATTTCCAACGCCTCTGCCCTAGTGCGGGTTTCTCGTCCAATCAGCCTAACCGCCGCCAGAACTACTCGGTAAACGCTGTAGAGCAACGCCGCTTCGAAGTGCCGCAGAGTCACGGATTTCCGAGTGTGGAAAATCAGAATGTACATGAGGAAAAACTCTCGATGTCGAATGCCCCGTCGCAAGGCAATAAAGAAACCACCCGTTTCGTCTACTCGACGTTCCCTGATTCAGGACACTTGATAGCAGAAGCAAAAATCAACGATCAGGTGGTGAAGTTTGTTATAGACAGTGGAGCTTCGGCATCGCTAATTAATTGCAGAGACATCTCACCGACGAACTTGGGGAAACTGAGCCCCGCAAAGTCGGCCATTCTGAAATCGTATGGTGGTGAGCAAGTGGAAGTTCTGGGAGAAACTCGATGCAAGCTGGAATTCCTAGGCAAGACGATTTGGTGCGCGATGTTTGTGGTACAGGGAAATAGCAAATCCATCCTCGGATTGGACACCCTGAGCATTCTTAAAGTCCAGATCAACTGTGACACAAAACAGTGCGAAACTATAAATTCAATATCCGAGCGGAACGAAATTCTGCCGGAAGAATTTCGAGAGTTCGATGACTTATTCTCTGGCAAGTTAGGCTTGGTTCGCACTCATCAGCATAGAGTGAAACTTAAGCCGGGAGTCGTGCCCGTCCGACAGCCTTTGAGACGGATGCCATTCGCAGTGCGAGAAGAAGTCGAGAAGAAAATTGAGAATCTGCTTCGACTCGACGTCATTGAGCCAATCCAGTCCAGCGAATGGATATCCCCACTCGTCGTCGTGAAAAAGAAAGACGGCGACATCCGGGTATGCGTCGACTTACGGAGAGTGAATGAAGCCATTGTGGCCGACGCCTACCCGCTACCTCATTTTGACGATCTCTTCGAGAAACTACGGGGAGCGACCGTTTTCACAAAACTTGACCTTAATTCAGCGTACCATCAAGTTGAACTGGCCGAAGAGTCCAGGGATCTGACAGCCTTCATCACACCGAACGGCGTCTTTCGATTCAAAAGGATATGTTTTGGACTTGCCTCCGCACCGTCAGCTTTCCAGGCCATCATGCGGGACGTCCTGAAGGACTTGCAGGGCGTCTTGGTATATTTGGATGATATACTGATAATCGGTGCTTCGAGAGAAGAGCACGATAGCCGTTTACGGGAGGCCCTAAGACGAATACAAGCCGTCGGTATGACTCTGAATTCGAAGTGCGTTATCCGGGTGGTGGAAATAGATTTCCTCGGTTATCATGTGTCAGCGGAGGGTATTCGCCCGTGCCAGGATAACCTCG